CGTCTGTAAATACATCGGTACAACTGGTCAGACATTGAAGATTTTCTTTAGTGGTTAAACAAATAAAAGTAGAATCTTCGGGTAAATGTACAAACTTTTCCCCTCTAAACATTAAAAAATCTGCATCTTGAAATTCATTTATTTTTGTAATTGCATCTTCAGAAGATGTTGGATAGGGAGGGAGATTTTTTCTTCGTTCAATATACATTGCCTTTCTAACCGATTTTAAATCTTTATGTTCTAATTCAGTACTTACGCTATTCATAAGTTCATTTCTAATTAACTTTATTGGCCGGGTAGATATATTACTTGTAGCTTTTCGCTTGCAACTTTCTCTCAACACTTGTCGATCAATTTTTTGTATCGGATCAACAGGATGGTTATGTTCACTAGCATTTTCTATAATTAAATCATCAATCGTCATCAACACTGTGGACGTACACTGTTTTTTACAGCACCTCCATCTTACATATCCATCAGCCCGCTGCCTGATACACCTAAATTTGTGCCCATTGACTAGCAACAAATCATTTCCCCTCTCCGATGTAATACGTCGAATTTCGTTTTCCATTTTTAAAAAATCAACACAAAATTTTACACTGTGACACAATTCAAACACCGAACACAACTGATAGTTAATTGATATAGTCACATCATGCACGATTATAGTATAGGTCATGGCCGTATCCAGGATTTATTTTTGGGGGGGGGGGGGTTTCATTATAATATAAAACTACAAAAACATTTTTAAGAATTTTAATTTAATATAACCATATATCATTGTTTAAGGTACCAATAATACAAGAATAAATTAACCTCATTATTCCAAATATATAAGTTTTTATTTTTATTTATACTGTATTTAACACATTTTTTTTATTAAATTTACAACAAACCAAAATTTTTTAAAGTAACATCATTCTCCTCGGCTGTTTTGCAAACCGATTTAGCACCTCTTCTGGATCAACATTTATTTCCCTGTGTATCGACATTAATGCTAATCCGTTGAGACGAGTTTCACCAGTCGAGTTCCTAAGATACGTTTTCAATCTTTTTAAAGAAGAAAATGTTCTTTCTGGTGTCGCTGTTGACATAGGTATAGTGGCTAAGACTTGTAAAAGTTTCCATATGTTTGGAAACAAAAGTATGTTACAATTATCAAGCGCTTCAATTGCTGTATTAGGGCGTAACTCTTCTTTAAGCCACTTTGATTTCCATATTGAAAATTCAGCTTTGAAAACAGTAGGTTCTGTCAATATCCGGGAATAAAACTGTACACAGTCATTCATTTCTTCAGTAGTGGAATGTATACATTTACTCGGAATAATTTGCTGTAATGATTTTATTAAAAATTTGTGTTTCTGAAATCTATCAGAAAGCTGTATTCTTATATGGTCAAGAAATGGCAAAAAAATGTTAAGTTTGTAATACTCTTCAGAGCTATTAGCGGGCACATTATTACGCTGTGTTTGTCTATTAGCAAAACGAGGAAAATCTATTTCTTCTTTATTTTTATTCATCATTATTGCAGCAACGGAAAACATGTCTGAAAAATGATTATTGTTATTTTCTCTCATTTCGTCCAAAATTGCTACCACATCATCTACATGATTACATGTTTCGACCAAATCAGCATTTATTGTCTGTAACTGTTTACACAATGTTAATGTATAGGAAAAAATATTTTCAATTATTATGAGAGGTATAACAAATTTAGCGTCTTTAATTGAACTTAATAACTGACAAGACTTTTGAGCTGTTTCTTTATTTATTGAAGATTCTAATTTTTCTAATGCAACAATAATGGCTGGATATAGTTCTTTGAATCGCAAGACACTTTCATGCTTGTAAACCCAGCGTGTTTCACATAATGCCACTAACGTGCTATGTCTTGCCTGTGGAAGAGTTTCGATGATAGATATTCTTAATACTTCACTACGTTGAGCAGAAGAGCGAAAAAATGTTCCGACAGTTTGAATGGTGCTAATACAGTTTCTTATTGTGGGCAATGAACTGGCGTTTGCCAACGCAAGATTGAGTGAGTGAGCACTGCAGTGTACATAAAGAGCCATGGGGAAGTCTTTTTTTATGTATTCTTGAGCACCATGTAAATAACCACTCATTGCAGAGGCACCGTCGTAGCCTTGACCAACTAGAAACTGGCAGTTAATGCCGTTATTTTGCAAACTACTCATTATTAAAGTTGCTAGTCCTTTTCCAGTAAGATCAACAGCAGGTGTAAATTCTAAAAAGTCTTCACGAATTTTCTTATCGCCTTCATCATAATAACGCAAACATATGGACATTTGCTCAATTCTTCCAATGTCTGTAGTTTCGTCTGCTAACACAGAAAAGCACTCGGCAGCATTAACTCTTTGAATTATTTTTGACTTAATTATATCACCACAAATCGAAATTATCCCATTTTGAATTCCAGGACTAGTATACAAAGAATTTTTTGGACCATTTTTCAAATGTTCTTCTAGAATAGTGTCACCAGAATCTACACGAAAGCGTAAAAGTGCTCTGAAATTTCCGTCATTAAAAGTATTTATGTTCATTACATTTCCAAAATCGTTTGAACCTCGGAGAGCAATTTCTTGCTTACTACAAAGAATTATTGTTTTTATAACAGAAAGTAAAATTTTTCTATTTGTCTAGAACGTTCAATACTAAGTTGCTCAGTTATATTTTTAGATCTTCCTTCGTTCACTTTTAAAAAACTAACAGATTTTTCAACACACAATTTGTGATATGACGTACTAGCATGTAATTGAAAATCTTGCAGGGCATTTTTCCAATTAGCATACTCTTTAGAAACAAGTGCACCTAATTGTTGATGGCCACCTTTACCTCCTTTTTCTCGAGCAAACAAAACGCATGGTCTACAAAATGCTCCTTCGAAAATTTGTGAATAACTTAGCCATGGAAATCGTTTTATCCAAGATAATTGAAATCGTAAATTTCTTTTGGTTTTAACAGGGAAAATATACGTCGAATGCGGTATCCATGGAGTTTTTAAAAGTTCTTCTTTTTTTAAATCATCAATTTCTAAATTATGCACATAATTACCAATATCATTCTCCGCAGCTGTGAGAGTCTTATCGGAATCATTAGACATACTATTATTAGAATTAGGAGTCAAAGCAATGTTGTGATTATCAGTATCATTTTTACTAATTGAAGGTTGTTCTGATAAGTTAGCTTGGTCAATTGATACATTTTCAGAAGTAGGGTTGTCAGTTTTATTTATTTTTATTTTGGTAAATGCTGAAATACTCAACTGTTTTTGAACTCGTTTCATTTTCATACATAAATTCTCAGTTAATAAATACTAAAAAAAAAATATATATTTTACATCAACTATTAAAAAAAAGGATTTTTAATTTTATTTTGAAGTTATCAATTATTAAAAAAAAAACAGTTTAGGTAGGATTAAATATCATATATTTAGATCCAAAAATATACTAAAAAAATGTGTACTCATTCTATAAAAAAATATACTTAAAAATAATTGATTGAAAACATGTTTATCATCAAATCCAAAAATGTTCTATTTTACCTACTTATATTATTAATATTACACTAACATAGTTAAATCTATGGCCCAGTATAAAAACTGGTTTAAATAAATAAACTATGATTTTATTGATTTATTCTAATAAAATAACATTTTAATCATTAAAACACATTGAAGACAAATACAGTTTTATATGCGGTCTCTGTTATAAGATTAAGCTCATGATATACTATTTATAGCATGTGATTACGTCGGGGACGAGCATCGCGTATAACGTCGTACGATTATTGAACAAATACAAACGGTCATTTCGACAATATATCGATGTACTAAGCAATTTTTTGTACATACCGTTCTAAAGACGATGTTCGTCCTCAACGTAATAATAATATACTAAACATAGTACAGTATATTAGTATAATAATAACCGCATTAAACACGGTTCTTGTCTCGAACGCAAAAACAAAATAAAAATAGTCGGTCTCCAATAGTAGAAAATAGTATAATATTAGTAGAAACACTTACTGATTTTCGCCTTGTACAGTGATGTCTGAAATACAAATGAAGAAATAATATATACCCGTCTGGCCGTCTACCAGTTAGAATTAAAAATTATCAACGGACAACGTCTTCTGATAAGTTACATAAACGAAATAAAAGAATACTAAAAATAACGAAATTACACTTGTAATAAACTTCGGTAGACGATACGATAACGTCACATATTTATTATAATTACATTCTATTTATAGTTAATTAAAAATATATATATAGATTTAGATATATTTTTTTCAATTTACGCGATTTTTAGGATTATCGAGGAAAGTCAATAAAAATATTTGTATGACATTTCGGGGGGGGGGGGGGGGGTGAACCCTGAAAACCCCCCCTTTGAATACGGCCATGGTATAGGTATATTCGTACATGTATGGACATTTACAATAAAGATAATATTTTTAATAATATAACCAATTCATTCTTAGTGATGGGAAGTTTGTCTGATATCGGAAAAAATAAGTAATAAATAATCTACTATAATCTACTATGGTATCGTATGGATTTACCATGGACCTATATCCTATATATTTGGCAACGTTGCTTAAAAGTTAAAATAATATAGCGCGCGCAATCGTACGCTTAAAAAGGTACCGCTGATAAGGACCGCGCGCAATCGTATCGCGCCCTTTAAAATTGTTCAGTCTCAGTGAAATCGTTTATTGTAGTGCATCGTTTGATAGACTTAATAGTTATTGAGTACTTATTTAATATTTATAATAAATTTAAATAAAAAACGTATAAATATTGATGCCAATAAAGGAAACGAAGATGAAATTAATTTAGAAAACAAGAAGTGTATCCCGTGGTATGGGTTTGATAAATATTTCAAATATGTTGAAGAAACCGACGAAAATATTAAAGTATTATGCTTATTATATTTGCCATCCAGAAAAACCAAAAGTACTTCAAAAAAATTATCCACCAATTTAAAACGACATATGATAGTATGTATTATATTATTAATATTTAATAGGTATGTTTTATTTATTATAATAATATTTATCTGTACGATTAACTGATTTACTTACAATTTTAATAATATTTTTAATTCCATCCACTGTCGTAATAAGGTGTTATTCAAAGTAAATACTAAATGTGGGTATATAAGTTTCTTAATTGTACCTACCTATGTAATGTGCTCATCACTATAATGTACCTATATTAATATAATATAATAATGTATAACGTATTTTTTATTTTTCTTTTTTTGAAAAAATGAGTAGGAAATGTTTTAAAAAAAAATCGAATAGGCACTTATTTGTTAATTTATTTTTTAGTTTTTAAATACCTTATTTAAATTTCTGATTTTTGATGATAACCATAGATCAAAATTAGTTTGTACATTAATTTCCAAAAGTGTAGAAAGTTAACTACCTACTTTATTTATATAATTTAATTACTTATACTCTTTGGTAGGTAAAAAATAAATATTATAAGTACCTAAATACAAAATATTTACCTAATCATTTCTTTTTCTTTAATGTTTTTAGAAGGTTCATGTTTATAAGTATGCAGAGTATCTAGCTGATACAGATGGGGAAAATAAAACTAATTGTTTACAAAATATTCAAAATGATGAGGATACAGTAACAAAAAATCTACTGAAGAATGATAAATCGAACAATCTCATACAGTCTACATTACACAGAATTGGTACTGGGAATAAAATAATTACCCAAAAGCAACTGGACTCTGCAATAATTACATTTGTTGTTCAAGATACACAGACAATTAATATTGTTGACAAGCCAGTATTTTCGAATTTAATTAGGTTGGGATCAGTTATGATCTGACTTTCGTTCGGACTTGTCGCGTACTGTCTCTGTTTCGCTCCGTTATCTATACTTTATAGCATGAATTGTTCAAAGTGCAATTGTGTGTTGGCTGATACCGACTGTATTAAATATTCTATTTGTTCTAATTCATTCCATATTGCTTGTACATCTATCTCTGGTTTGACCGGTAAAAATCTTAAAACTCGTGGTATTTCGTGACTGTGTACTGCTTGTGAGTGTTCAAGACTTTGAGTTAGAAAATCACCGGTTACTCAACCAGCTATAGATACTGATTTCATGTCTAAAATTAATACCATACTTTCGGCAGTAAATGACGATTAAACAATCGGTTTTTAAACATGAAACATCGCTATCGTCACTCAATAAAAAACATGACAACGTTTCTGTTCAACTACGGGACTTGGGGACTCGTACTTTAGTGCTCGAAATTAAAGTCACTCAATTAGAAAATCAATTGTCTAGTACTAAATCTTCTAACTATTCAGCGGACGAGACTGTTATATCCGAAGTTATTGATCGTCGGGCAAGATCACGTAATCTAATTGTATTTAACGCTGCAGAATCAGATGAAAATATTGATGATATGTCGCTAATTAAATCTTTTCTACATTCTTTAACACCCAATATTGCTCCGGCATTAGTCTCTAGACTAGGCCAAAAAACAAGTAAACCTCGGCCACTTAAAGTTACTTTACTTGAGCCATCCGATGTTTTTATCGTACTTAAAAATAAACACAAACTTCGTACGTCTTCTTCATACAGTTCCATTAGTATATCTCCAGATCGTACTATTATGCTACGTTATCGACTTCGTGATATCATTGTGAAACTCGAGGAACGTAAAACAGCCGGTGAAACCAACTTAGTGTTGAAGTTTGTCAAAGGTGTACCGACCATTTCAAAAAACTAACTAACGGGCCAGTTCATAATAACATAAATTTCTACTATCAAAATGTTCGTGGACTCAATACCAAATTGAATGTTTTATTGCGTAATGTACTTTTATCGGATTATGATTTTATTGGCTTATCTGAAACCTGGTTATCTACTAATGTTGATACGTCCGAATTAGGTTTATCTAACTATAATACTTATCGCTGCGACCAAAACCAGAATACTATAGTACGGCCAGCGAAACTAGGCGGGTGAACGTCGCGCGCCAGGCGGCCGTTTTCATGTAAACCAGGGGTTCTAAAAGTATTATTTATTAAATGAATAGCCGGTGCAGCTGTGTTTCAGATGTTTATAAAAAAGTTGTGAACCCTCACATTACAAATATTTTATTAACGTATAAGGTATATCGTATATACAATATGTATAATGTAAATATGCGTACTACAAACTGCTGCGGGTGAGGGTAACCATCGAGCGCGGCGTTTTTATATTCAAACTGGCCATCTGGCGCTGGCAACCGCATTCCATTGGCCTTATTGTATTGTCATTCTATTGAAACCAAATTGTGTACAGAAACAGTATTTTTTCAAAACGTGTTAATCTACGATCCTCTGCCTTTCGTATATGTGTTGATTGCTATCGTTTGAGTTAAATGTGATATTTTTATACGGCTAATTAGTACAATATTTTATAATTTTTTTGGTGTTTTTTTTTACTATTTGTGATAAATTATTTTTTCGAAATGTCAATTCGACCCGATATACATTCCCAAACGAAAAAAACAATATACAACGTGTATACATTTTTTAAAACCTTAGCCAAGAGCAAAGACAAACTTGAATTGTTAGATTATTTTCTACAGTCCCAGGAGAGGACGGCCGAGGTTTGTGCGGTGAGTCTGAGAACTGTACAACGGATATGTAAAGAGAGTAAAATGACCGGAAATGAAGAAGAATCTTGTGTTGGAAGTTCTAATGACCTTAAATTTCAATCACCACGAAAAAGATACAGTCGCGAGAAATCTGTCACTGAACTTGATGATTTTAACAATGAAGTGGTCAGAAGAGTTATTCATAGCTTTTACGATAGAGGTGAATTTCCAACGACCGCTAAAATATTAGTAGAATTGCGTGAAAAATTAAATTACCGTGGATCGAAATCGTCGGTGAAAATAATTTTAAAATAACTTAATTTTAAGTATAAGAAATGTAACGACGGTCGCAAATTCTTAAGGGAATGTTCGGATATTGTAGCTGCACGCGTTAAATTTCTTAGAAAAATGAATGAGTTTCGTAGGAACGGTGATACTCGGCCAGTAGTCTACTTAGATGAAACCTGGGTTAATCAAAACCATACCCGTCGACGTATTTGGCAAAATGAAGAAAATACGGAAGGTTTAAAAGTATCTACGGGCAAAGGCAGTCGCCTCATCATATGCCACGCCGGATCTCCTTCCTTCGGATTCATTAAAGAATCAAAACTTATTTTCCAATGCAATTCTGGTAACAAAGATTATCATTCTCAAATGAACACCACAATTTTTGAAAATTGGTTTTCACAAATGCTACTTAACTTAGAACAGCCGAGTATTATTGTTATGGACAACGCGTCGTATCACTCTTCGTTGATCGAGAACTATCCGAAGTCCAACAGTAGAAAGGCAGATGTTCAACAGTGGTTACGGGATAAAAATATAGATTTTTCTCCCGTAGAAACACTTGACGAGTTACGAGAAAAAGTGAAGCCTTCAATGCCACGCGGAAAAAAATATAAACTCGATGAACTAACATTCCAAATGGGTCATGAAATGGTAAGGCTTCCCCCTTACCACTGTTAGTACAATCCAATAGAATTAATTTGGGCCCAAGTTAAAGGCAGAGTGGCTGAAAAAAATTCAATATTCAAAATTGCAGATGTCGAGACAATTGTGCATAAAGAGATCGATGCAGTATCTCCGGAATATTGGGCCAAATGTGGAGAACATTGCGTCAAGATTCAGGAGGAGGACTTTGCCAAGGCAGGATTAAGAGACGAGATATTAGAACCAATAATATTGACCATTAATCCTGACGAAAGCAGTTCAAATGAAGATGAAGACGACAATGATGACTAGAGCTAGGATGTTTATGACTTAGCATATTTTTTTCGCGCAGCCAGAATTACACCGGGGTATGATATAAATCCGACTCATGAAGTCTAGATTAGTAATTAGTAAACTTATTTTGCATATTTTTGCATATTTGACATTTTTAAGCATATAAATGCATATATTGATTATTTCTAGATTAAGTAGCATATATTTTATAAATTATATGTATAATATTAAAAATTGTCCATATATTATTAATTATTTTCGTTGTGTTTATGAGTAAGACCCGCATGTTATTATGAGATTTTATTATTATTATTTTATTATATTTTGAGCGGGCCGGTAGGTTTTCCCAATAAGTGTGGAGTTACGAGATTACAATACGTTTAATATTGGATATTATTTTTGTTGACATTCAATATTTAGTTGTGTTTGTTTGCTGCAGTTCGCATGTTCTACGCTGCATTTAAATAATTTTTCTAATTCACATTTGATATATGCTAATAAAAATGCCGAAAAATTCGTTAAGTAGTTTTGTGAAAGAGTTCAGGGAACATATATTTACTTCCGATGGCAAAGTATTATTTTGCAAATTATGTGAAGTTAAAGTATCTGCAACTAAGCGATTTTTAGTCACGCAACACATAAAAACTGCAAAGCATGAGCATGCGTTTAATCAAAGAAAACGACGCGAACAGAGTACAAGCCAATCGTTATTAACTGAAAATACAAACAAGAAATCTGATTTTAATTCCGATCTTACTGAAGCTTTAGTGTTTGTTAATATTCCACTCTACAAAGTAAATAATTTAAAATTTAAAAACTTTTTAGAAAAGTATACATCAAAAAAAATCCCTGATGAATCAACCTTGAGGAAAAATTATGTAGACAGTATATATCAAAAAACTCTAACTAAAATACAAGCCGAGGTTTTAAACCGTAAAATTTGGGTGTCAATCGACGAGACCACGGATATTGACGGGCGCTATGTAGCAAATGTTATTGTTGGCGTACTTGATTGTGAAGTACCCGGCAAAGTCATGCTTGTTAATTGTGAACATCTTGAAAAAACAAACAGTACAACAATTGCTCAACTTTTTGATAGGACGATGAATTTAATTTGGCCTCAAGGTGTAGAACACAATAATGTTTTGTTGCTAGTTAGCGACGCCACACCATATATGGTAAAGGCTGGATCAGCGATCCAAATATTTTACCCAAAGATACTTCATGTAACTTGCCTCGCTCACGCTTTACATCGAGTAGCTGAACAAATCCGTATCGATTTTCCGTTGGTTGACAAACTTATTTCGTCCGTCAAAAAAGTTTTCCTTAAATGCCCATCAAGAATACAAATATTTAAAAATGAAGCACCAGAGTTAAGTTTGCCACCAGAACCAGTCCTAACACGTTGGGGAACATGGTTGACGGCGGCTATTTATTACTGCGATTCCTATCAAACCATTAAAAAAATTATAAACAAATTTGATCCCAATGATGCTTCGTCTATAAGAACAGCTCAAGAAATTATTGGTGAACGATCAGTTGAAGCCAATTTAGCTTTTATTAAATCAAATTTTTCGTTCTTATCTTCAGCTCTAACATCTCTTGAAGAAAAAGGGAAACCTTTATCCAATTCGGTTGCCATTATAAATATTGTTTCTGAAAAACTATCGATTGTAGCATTAACTCCTCAAGGTAAATCAATATACACAAAATTTCAAAAAGTTTTAGACAAAAATTCTGGGTATAAAGTATTGTCCAAAATTTCTAAAATACTAGTGGGTGAAACAGATTCATTTGATGGACTTCCCGAAGTAATAGAAGCGGACGACATTGTTAACTTGAAGTACGCACCGATGAACTCTGTGGACGTGGAGCGGTCATTTTCAGTCTACAAAAATATATTGTCGGATCGTCGAAGGTCCTTCAAATTTGAAAATATCAGCAAAATAATTGTTGTACAATGTAATACTGAAACTTAAAGTGCTTAACGTATGTAAAATTTAACTTTAATATAGTTCAGAAACTAATTAATATTATTTTCATATTTAATAAATGTGTATATTGTAATAAAGTAATTTTAAATATACATGTAAAAAAGTATATACATTTTTTGAATTGATATTAATTCTCTTTTGCATATATTTGTTGAAAAAATAGATATATTTAATTTATTTTGTGGCATATAATTGCATATTTTGGTATTTTTAAATGCATATTTTAATGAAATTTTGGTCATAAACATCCGAGCTCTAATGATGACTAAATTATTTCAATTTGGAAATATATTTTTTATGTAAATATCATTAAAATAGTATTAAGTTTCATTACCTAGTTATTAGTTTTTAAATGTACATACATATATATATACATATATAATTGCGTAAAAAATTAAAATATTAATATTATTAGTTGTTAGCGCATGTGATAGTTAATAATTAATGAGTTTTACGTACAGAAATATTGAATGTTCAGTTTTTATTACAACTCCCGCGCTTTTAAAATTATTTTACGCGGGAATGTAGACTTGGAATCACTGCCGGAAATTTGCCACCAGGCGCGCGACGTTCACCCGCCTAGTTTCGCTGGCCGTACTATAGGTACCGTGCATCAAATGAAAAACCTCGCGCTCTGGTGGTGAACGCACTCACTTTTTGTGTATAACAATGTTATATATCACATGCCAAATATTGTTGTGTACCTATTATTAATATAAATAATAACACTAACATAAATAATTAATATCGTCTTTTATTGTCAAATATATTTATATAAATCGTAATGACCCCACCTATCGTAATATGATACTTATGATTATTATAAATATAAATACTTACGTTTAGTATACAAATATACAATATTAATGCTGAATATGCAACAAATATAATTCTACAGAATATTAAAATACAAAGTTGGATACTAATCTAGTATCCGTGGATTTACCACGATTAAAATCATTAATAATTATAATAGTAATGATAATAGCTGAATACTGACAACATGAAATGCAATAAATTAATAATTATTAGTTATTACGTATGTCTTACTATAATCATATATTATATACCTTACATTGTTCTATGCTATAGTTTACCTACACTTATTTTTTCAAAGTAAGAATTGAACGTTTTAGTCGTTTTACTTAATTAATAATAAATAATGAATCAACCTGATATTATACTGAATTGTGGATTCAAAGGTATTAAATACAATTATGACTTTAAAAATGATAAAGGAATAAAACTTTTTGAAAGTGGCCATGTGAATAGTGTTGTTGAAGTACAACAACCAAATGGGTATAGTACCATCACTGGTTTTGTAATTAGACAAACTTCAGTTAACTTAACACCATACAAAGTTACTTTAGAAGTATGTACAAAAATGTAGTACCTATAAAATTTGATATATTAATTCTTATTTAATAATTTGTATGAATAGGTAAATCCTTCAAGATATGTAACACATTGTATTTGTGAGTGCCCAGCTGGTGCTGGTCTCAAATGTAAACATATAGGAGCACTTATTTATTATGTAAACAATGAAGAAAGTATTACAAAGACTAATTTAGAACAGGAATGGGGCAGGCCTTCGAAATCAGGGGAAGCTAAATACAAAAAAGGTAGAACTATTGAAGATCTATTTCCAAAAAAAAAACAAAAACAGTCTGAAGTTGAAAGTATTGCTATCAGTCATGAGTCACTTATAACGGATTATAATATTTTAGAAATTCCATGTATTCTTAGTAAAATGATTGAAAAGAACCCTCCTCAGTGTGAGATTGCTATTGAGTGCCAAAAATGTTTAGAAGAATTATTGGATGAGGTAGAAGAGTCTATAACTACAGATTTTATGTATACTATAGTTTCTAAACAATATTCATTTGACATAAACTTTTCTAAAAAAATAGGTTCTTATTTTCCTTTAAACATAAAAGAACACACATTTTATATGAATAATGTAGTAGTTAATTCTCAACAAATAATAAGTATAAATAATCAGACTAAAATGCAGTCTGAAAGTATACAATGGAAATATATTAGACAGAGTAGAATTTCAGCAAGTGTTAAAGCTCATCGAATAAAAATTTGTAAAGACCTGTCATTTGAAAATCAAGAAAAATTAGCTACATCTTTATTAATTGATAAAGAATTGGGATATCAAGGTAAAATTAATGTGGCATATGGCAACAAATATGAAAATGAGGCAATCAAGTATTATAATACAAAGTTTAATAATACTATTCTTAAATGTGGAGTTATAGTACATTCTCAAAAACCATGGTTGTGTGCAAGTCCTGATGGTATTGTAATTAAAAATAGGACTGTTACAAAAGTACTAGAAGTTAAATGTCCTATTTCTTGCCAATCCAAACCAATTTGTGATCCTGAAAACCAGAAATGTAATGTTCCATACTTAAAATATAGGAATCACCAAATTGTCTTGAGTACTACACATCAATATTACACCCAGTGCCAAATATTAATGTATTGTTGTGGCATAAGTGTATGTGATTTATTGGTTTACAATAAAATTGATCCAGTTGTAATTAACAATGAAAAAAATATTTTATTTTTACAAACAATATTGCCAAGACTTGAATTTTTTTATTTTAACTTTTATTTACCAAAATACATTTTTAAATAATTATATTATTTTTTATTTTATAATCATTAATTTGTAAAGTTAAAAGATTCAATTTGTTTTATTATATTCTATAATCTAAACTAATGGCTAATCAGTTTTTTCAAAATTTGTTAATTTCATATAAAATATTAAAAATATATTTTGCATTATTACTCTTTAATTATTGGATTTTGTAAGTTTGTTAGGACACAACAAATATGCATTATGTCATCAATATAAGGCAACAAATCTGCAGTTATTTTATTTAAAATACCTTGTGTTTTTAATTTGGCAAATACTCTTTCGATGTGAATACGCACACTAGCCACATTATACGTTTCAATAACTTAATTCTCACTAAATTTTCCATTATGGAGTATAGGAGGCATTACCAAAATACTATTTTTATTCTCACATAATACCTTAATACCAGGAAACCCATTATCAGCTAAGACTTGATCACCCATTTCCAAATTTGACAAAAACCCACTGTCATTAGTAATAAAGGTGTCACTCGTTCTACCACCATAACATTTAGATAAAAAAGAAATAAAACCACTTGGAGTTATTGCCACCAAAGTTTTAACTGTATATGCACTTTTGTACCTTGAGTACATATATACACGTTGTTCAACTGAACTTGGTTGTTCAGTCTTTATCTCAGTACAGTCAATAATACAACGACAATTTGGATAATTGTCCTTAAACACTCTTGGCAAAGTTTCTACAACTGTCTTTTTATTTGGCCAAAAAATGAAATGTTTAGTTTTACTAACCAAAACTTCTAATATGCTAAAAAATATTCTTGAAACAGTAGTACGATTTACATTAAACAGCACACCAATAGCTGAATATGTAATAAAATGCTTAATTTTGATGAGAAAAATCATCAACTTATTTTCTTTACTAATTGTACTACCATAAGACTGAGGTACTAATGATAGTAAAAGATTAAATACTTTAAACGTTGTCCCAGTTAGATCTTTTAGTTGTGATTCATAAAGTATAGAATTAAAACCTTGAAAACAGTTCAGTTTTAAACAAGATATATCAAGACCACAAGCAACACTTTTTACTGACCGTTCTATTGAGTTATTAGACAAGGGTGGTATATGTGCTAGTGTGCCAACATCACAATTAGATTTATTAAATTCACATTCAAATTTAAACTGATTTATATTGAAGTCAAACATAACTTGTGTCCCAACGCTACAAAATGAATTAATTTTATCATATTGGGGGATTTCAATGATTTCTTCATCTAAACGCTCTACATCATTAAATACAACTACTTTTTGACGCTTAATTTTTCGATTATATCTGTTACTCTTTTGTTCATTATTAACTGGTTTTCTCTTGTAAATATCAGGAAACAATGATGGTATACATGATGGACTATTAGGGTCTTTTGATCGTTTATTACCCACAAAGTGTTCACTACATACAACTGATTGTGGTTTAGGACACCATAGTTTACCATTATCACTGAAATATCAATATTATTTAAAGTTTGATTTCTATGAAAAATCTATAGTACTTATAGTATGTATAGTTTGTTTAACTCACTCCAATCGCTTAACTGCCAAGATCCATTTCTTTTTTAAATCAATTTCATATTGTTTATTAGGAAAATTATAAAATTTGACATCTTTATTTTTTGTATTTTTGTAAGAATTGTTACAGTTTACAACACAGCACATCTTACAGCTCATTTTAAATTTTTAACAGAATAGAAAAATTTCGCGATAAATAGGTAAACAAAACAATTTAATATTTATGAAACAGATTACAATTTACAGGTAGGTATAATTAGCAATTATATAGGTATATTATTATATTAATAGTCTAGGCGCTATACACTAAAACTTGGATCGTAGACCACCCAGAGCGCTAGCATCGGTATGCACGGTGTCTATAGCAATCGTTCTAGAGGTGGAGGTGTTCTTCTATCAATTAATAATAAATTTCATTCACGTTTATTACCTTTACCTATCAGCCCAGTGGAACATGTATTTGTCATTACTAAAGTAAACAATAATTATATTATTATAGGTAATGTTTATTTTCCTCCTCATACTGATATCTCAATTTTCAATGCTCATTTTGATATTTTTAATGATTTACTTTTAAAATTTCCTTATGTTACTAACGTAGTTATGGTTGGTGACTACAATTTTCCTAAACTGCAATGGCTTGCTAGTTCCATTGGTTTTTTTCCAAATATATTTAACTTAAGTAATGTAGAATCTGATTTCTTATCAAATATATCTTTTTTAAATCTTCATCAATTTAATAATGTTTATAATAATACTGGTTCAATGCTTGACTTAGTTCTCTCTGATTTTAATAATTTATCTGTAATTAAATCTGTAAATCCACTTATTCTGTGTGACATTTATCATCCGGGCTTATCAATTTATATTCCTATAGTTATAAGTGTACCAATTAAATATAATTTTTGCATGTATAACTTTTTTAATTGTAATTACGCAGATATAACGTTTAGCTTAGCTTCGATCGACTGGATTACATTATTTAAAGATCTTAGTATTAATGAAGCTGTCGACTTGTTCTACTCTATTATTTATGATATCATTGATATTTTTGTACCTAAAATAATTAAATGTCAGTCTTACTACCCTCCGTGGTTTAGTAAAAATCTAATTGAAACAATTTTTAAAAAAAAAATTGCTCATAAAGTGTTTAAGAATACAGGTTTGGTGAGTGATTACAATACTTTTTCTAATCTTCGTGGTAGATGTAAGTTTCTCTTGAAAAAAGATTATCTAAATTATATTAAAAAAATTCAAACTAATTTAAAAATCAATCCTTCTGCATTTTGAAAGTTCATAAACAATAAACGTAGAAATAATTTTTTACCTAATTGTATGTATTTAAACACAGATGAATGTAATACTCCTGATGATATTATTAATACTTTTGCTAATTACTTCTCTAGTGTTTATGAAAACTACGATTATTTTAATGTTAATTTCAAACAGCTAACTCCTCCCAAAGTTCTTTCGTCTCCACTCCACTCTTGTTCAATCGATTTATTTGAGGTATTTGAAGCATTATGTACATTAAGTTCCAATTCCAGTCCTGGACCCGATTTAATTCCAAACATATTTCTAAGAGAATGTAAATTTGTCATTTCTATACCATTACATTACATATTTAATCTATCACTTTCCTGCGACTTTTTCCCTGATAAGTGGAAAACTACTTTTATACTTTTATTCGACCAATTCCTAAGTCTTCATCTGATCTATCCAACATTGAAAATTACCGTCCAATTTCGTTGCTTTCTCTCATACCTAAAATATTTGAATCAATAGTTGCAAATAAGGTATTATCTGTTTTGAATCATGTTATCATAGATGATCAACATGGCTTTCGGCGAAATAAAAGTACGATTACTAATTTACTTAACTTTCAAAATTTTGTATCTGATGCTCTTTCTCGTGGATCGAATGTTGATGCCATTTACACAGACTTTACCAAGACTTTCGATAAAACCAACCATCAAATCTTATTTACGAAATTGAAACAGATATCTGTGGCTCTTTTTTATCCTGGGTCATCTCCTTTATTGTAGATCGTCAGCAAATAGTAGCTTATAAAGAACAAAGGTCAATTCCAATTCATGTTACATCGGGAGTTCCTCAAGGGTCCCATTTAGCTCCAATATTATTCCTTATTTTTATTAATAACATTCATTTCCCTAATTGCACTAAATTAATGTTTGCTGATGATATGAAGATTTTCCGTATATTTGATAATCAGAATGAGGCTGATTTACTCCAGCTCGATTTGAATACTCTCTATGAGTGGTGCAGTAACAATAATTTTACTCTTAATACTAAGAAATGCCAGATAATGATATTTTCCAGAGCTCGAGTAGTTTCTTCATTTGATTACAACCTTAATGGTGTGTTACGTACCGTGTTATTTTACACATATATATTATACGGAGAGGTGATGTGTATACCGATGGGATAATATATTCAAACAGTGTAGCACCAACGGATAGGGCGAACACCTGCACATCGTAATAATTATATAATGAATAAGACATGGTCACACGTCCTGGTCTTCTCAGTAATGATGAGTAAACGATAGTGTTAACATTGTACTATTTAATATGACAATTAAGACTTGATCACATGTCTTGTAATTCTTAGAACCGATGAAATCGCAGGAAAGGCACCCAACTGAATAATACATTTAATTTAGAGAGCTCCTTTAGGTCATCGGAAGTCACCACCTCCCCAGTCACCACTCTTGACGGTTAACCATATATAAGGGAGACCAGGGCAAGAGCTCAGCAGACGGTTAGGGATATTCGAGACGCTCAGAGGCAGGTCGTAACACCACTCACGGTCTCGTCTATCAGTATTTCAGAGGCAGGTCGTAACACCACTCACACCATCTTGTGCTTATAAAATTGTATTCTTGTACGAGTTAATTGTATTAAATAAAGACTTAATCTTTTAACTTGCAAACATTAGTATTTCTATTTCTACGTTTGATATATGAATCGACGTTGACATAAGGGACGCAACAGGTGAACAACTACTTCGGACTATAGGGGCTATTAAGGACCTTGGCATTTCTTTTGACTCTAAACTTAAATTTGACTGTCATATTACCAACATTGCTAACAGGTCAAATAAAATCCTTGGTTTTATCCGTCGTAATTGTGCTGATTTTGATGATTCAGTAGCATTGAAGTCTATTTACTGTAGTTAAGTACGCTCGATTTGTGAATATGGCTCAATAATATGTTCTCCATATCAATCGGATCTTAAGCAATTCCTTGAAAAAATTCAACAAAAGTTCTTACGTTTTCTTTCATTTAAATGTTCTATAGCAAGAGAACCCCATTCTTCGTACACTCCACTACTATCAATTATTAACTTCGAAACTCTAGAACAACGTCGTTTGCGATTAGATTTGTATTTTTCGTATAAACTTTTTTCAGGAAATGTAGACTGTCCTGAGTTCCTAAGTCGCTTCTCCTTCCATGCCCCTACTCGTAACTCCCGGTCTAAAAACACTTTTTATCTAAACACAGAAGTAACTAATTATGCAACCAATACTCCCCATCATAGAATTATGAAAACTATAAATAAATTAAATATTGATCTGTTCATCAAACTTCTATTCATTCAAAAATTATTGTAATTTCTTACTTCGTAATTCATAGCTATAAGTATATTAATAATAATTAATATTAAGCTTTATTATTTTTCTCTATAAGTATTCTGTTATTTGTATATTATTTTAACGATCGATTGTTTTTATTATTATCATGTATGTAATTGGACCTGGCCCGTTTAAAATTTAAATAAATAAATTACCAAAAACATTAACAGTTATGTGTTCAAAAACATTAAAAACACGATTAAACTCTGCAGCTAATGCAATAGTAGATAAAATCACTAAAACACTGTCAAATATTGAATATATATCAGAAACTGTAGATTGTTGGACCCAAGGTAAATAAATCTTACCTCGGCATAACAGCCCATTAACAGCACAACAACGTTAGTTAGAGAAGGAGCATCGTTAGCTTGTACAGTAATAAAAGGTCGTCATACTTTTGATCTAATAGCTAAAGAAATATATAATATAAATATATAGTACAAAATTCAAAATAAATTAATTAGTACTACAACTGATAATGGTAGCAACTTTGTAAAAGCATTTAGGGTTTTTGGAATTGATAAAAATTATAAGGAAAACTTATTAGATGAAGTGATCTTCATGAAGATGAAGAAATAGAGCTAATTGATTTAACTTGTATAATTGAAAACGCTGAAGATGATGCAGAAAATAATTTTGTAAATGAAGTTAGTTTGTCTGCTCACAGACGATGTGAGAGTCATACTTTGAACATGGTAGCAACTAATGATGTTGAAAAATGGTTCAATGAAAATGAAAGAAAGGCTGATGTTCTTCAACTCAAAAAACTTTATAGAAAACTCTTGGCCAAGTTAACAAAACTTTGGTCAAAACAAAATCAGTCGACGATTGTGGCAGAAAAAATTCATGAAGTACTCAACGTGTATTTGAGAGTACCTAATAAAACTAGATGGAATTCCACATATGATGCATTACTTCAATTAAAAAGAATTATAAATAGACCTGGTGGCTTAGAAAAATTGAACCAAGTTATGGATTTTAATACATTATCAAGTATAAGTGAAGAAGCTGTATTCATAAATTAATTTTGTGATATATTTGGACCAGTCGCAGAGTCCTTAGATTTCTTACAAAGTGAAAAAACTATGTATATGGGATATCTGCTATCGACTTTACATGCTTTAGAGAAAAAAATTAAAAGAAGACAATGTAAACCTATGACGTATTGTACACTTCTATTAGAAGCTGTTTTAAGATCAATAAAAAAAATGTTTGTATGATTAAATTAGAAAATTAAATAAATCATGATTTAACATATTATCAGCTTATCTTAATTTATATTATTATGTGACTGGTGTTATATATTTTACCATATATGGATGGAAAAAGAATTAGTAATTGCTGCATATCTTATTCCAAGATTTAAATTAAAGTTCATCGAGCCAGAATCATGGCGCTAATAGCCGTGCGTTTGCATAAAGGTAGCCGCAGTCAGTTACAGCACCTTTTTCCGACCTATTACTAGTAGTGATATATGTTGTAAAAGTTTTAGAATCCCGGGTGACGCCTTAAAACCCCTCACTGTCGGACTGCCTGGTTCCACCCATATATCACCACCAGTTGTCACAGTTTTCCTTATTACGCCGCCGCATGCTAACATTTAATTAGATATTCTTGATCCGCGTCTCCGTTCGGGTATACTTCGTCGTCGTGGGTAGAACCAGTGGCGCCGAAACCAAAAAAAATGTTTAAAATGTTGCAAACGTTTAAAATTATTGAACAACACCACCCCCTGACCAATAATATTTTACGTTTACAAATTTACAATAAATATATATATACATATTGTATTTTATGTATAAAAATTGATCTCTTCACTAGTATAGTAAAATTTCTCACTATAAGACATTTCTTTTATTAGATAAACCTTATCAGTAGCCATCATACATACTTGTATTTTAAATTGAAATTATACCAACCTTATTATACCTAATTCCAAAGTGACTTACTAGACCTAGACTAGACACTATTTATGTTATAACTTATAAATATTGGATGTTTACTTTATGGTAACCAGGTTAACAAGATAATTAATAGCACTCTACCACAAATTAAGATTTAAGTTCTAACTATTAGGTATGTAATGTAGGTATTATATGCTATGCTATTATGTGCATGCAATGCTTCTTCTGATAATTGAATAGGCATTACTAAAAAAAAAAAAAAAACACTCACAAGGACTAATATTTTCATCTTATTATTTAAAAAAAATTAAGTTGGACATTTTACCATTTATTTTTTAATAAATGTTGATGTTTTAAACTTTTATTATCAATAATATTATGATTTTAAATAATTTTCAGTTTGTAAGTAGGTACCTATAATGGAAAAAAACTGATTTTTACTTGGATGCAAATGAATATATCCTTGTGGAACATTCTTCACATTCTGTATATTACTTTATAGTATCCACATGTAATATACATAAATATATAATAATATAATAGTATAAAAAACCTTAATTTTGTTTAGTATATTAAACATTTATTAAGTACAGAGCTTTTACCTGCCATAGAAATAATTATATTTTCGATGTTCGGTTGAATATCTCTTTCACAGCTGATTTTAATTAAATGTTCAAGTCGTTCTTGTATCATAGAAGTTCTTAATTATGTTTTAAAAAGCTTCAGTTTTGAAAAGCTTTTTCTACACTACAGCTAGTAACTGGTAGAGTTACGCTTAGTTTTAGAACATAAAACAGATTTGGAAATACATTAGCTAAATTAGCTGTACAGAATATTTTAAAAATTTGTAGTGTGCTGGCCATATTTGCTTTATCTTGTTCGGCACTCTCTCTATTTTCATTATTATCATCATCCATATCAAAATTATGATCAATATCAAGATTACATTCTTCATCATTTTGATCTTCACAATTATTAAATGAGCCATGAAGAGTTTTAGGGAGTAGCACAGAACTTTCAATGTCTATGTAGTTATTACAAAATTGTAGATATTTTGTAATTAAAATATCTCTATCAATCATTGTATGCATCAAATATAACTTTTCAAAAGAGTCACGAGGAAGAGAATTTGGATTTCTATTTATTTCTTGAATTCTTCTTCTTGAAAGTAGAGACATATCTTTTAAAGCACCGATATTTGTTGAATCAAAACGAGTTTTCAATGGAGATAGTGTTATATCAATAACAGAATTGAATGTTTGTACTTCAAGTTTTTTTAATGGATCATTTACTTGTTCAGCACATGCCATTTCACCTATACATAAAAACAATACAAATTAAATTAAATTTTAAATCGACAGAACATTTTTGAAAATTTAATATTATATAATAAAATATATTATAATACTTGCCATTCTAGGAACTTTTTTTTTCTTGTAATTTTTAGTAGATCAAATGATATAGCACTACTTTCTGAAAAAATTCATCAGCCATGTTTTTAACAATTTTAAATTCCTTTCTTAATTTAATAAATTTTGATATTAAATTTAGAAGAATATTTGTAGCTAGTAAAATATCTAAATCACGAGATTGAAACTGCTTGGTTACTGGTTCTAATATAAGAAATATACTTTTGAACATAAAAGCTGTTAATACAAATTTGTATGACCTAAAATATGTTACGAGGCCACTGCAAGTAGAACGTATTATAGGATCACCTTTCTCGTAGTCTTTAATTTGTCTTAAAGTTTTTAGCAACGCATCATGACATTTTAATACAGTATTTAAAGCTACTAAATGTGAACTCCAACGAGTGGTACTTACACGCTTTACAGTATGAGACTGGGAGTGTTCAATTTGGTTTTCTCGAAATAAAGCAGCTCTTTTTTTGGAGCACCAAAGAAACACATATAATGATTCTAAATAACCAAATAAATCTATTGCATTGGAGTCTGATGAAACAGCTTGTTTGATTATAAGTGCTAAACGGTGTGCATGGCACCAAACAAATAATGCTCGAGGATTTTCTTGTTTAATGCGGGCTTGAAGACCTTTATAATTTCCCGAAATATTACTTGCACCGTCATAAGATTGCCCGACAAGTTCTTCTTTCCAATGATATTTTTGTTTTTCCATAATCGTTATAAATAAATCTTATAGATCTTGTCCACTTGTAGCAGGAGATTCTTTTACTGCAACAACTCTTTCAAATACATCTCCTAACGACTCATCAACGTAGCGAACCACAAAAGACACTTGTTCTTTCCTCGATGCATCAAATGTTGAATCTACAGATATACTGAACATATGAGACTATGGCTAATTGAATTTGCGATGAAATTTCTTCTAAAATAGATTCAATGAGTTGGTTTTGACGTTGCCAAGTTACAAAAGAGTATTCTTTTTTTCCAGAACTTTCAATTTTGTGTAAGTGTTCTGATAACGGTATAGAGTTTTTTGCCATTAAAATTACTAGATCCTTGAAATTACCGTTTTGAATATTAGGGATCCCTATATCTGTATGCCCTCTAAAAGCAAGGTTATGATGTGCTAAGTATAAAACAATGTCCACTAATTCTGTAATAACTTGCCTGTTCATAGCAACTTGAGTTTTTCGTTGCTTTTGAAGGGCTGGTAAAATAGGTACACTTGTTTGTCAATTTAAATTTGAATGAAGAAGTTATATGATCTACTGAAGTTTCATAAATATGTATTGCATACACACAATTTTTCCATGAATTAAAGCTTTTTTTTTGTCCAAGATTTAGCTAGGGAACTATGTAAATTGGTTCCAAACAAAAAACAGTGCAAGCAATAAATTTTATTTTGACTCGGTGAATAAGAAAGCCAATCTCTGTGGTGTTTAGTTTTATCAGGATGAACTCGGTAATAGTGAATGTCATTGAAACTTCTTTTGTTAGTCTTTGGAAAAATCTTTTCAGGTATGTCATTCAAATATGGTTGACATGGACCATATTCCAAAATTAAATTCCTGATTTCATGAGTCAAAGAAGTCATTTTGATGAAATTAGCTGGATCATTTTTAAATGTTCTTTCTAGGTTGAAATTTCTATCTCCTAAAAAATAAAATATATTTATTAAATTTTATATTTAAAAATATTATTTTTATATTAATTTTACAATCTGAAAAAACTTGAGTTAGAATTTGGTTTTAACCCTGATGAATTGGCTAATGCCATGATCAATCCAAAATACAGAATAATTCGCCATTGGTATGATGTTTGGAAAGAAAACAATTTGGGTTCTTCTTATTATATAAGTGTTTTGCAAGTAGGTACCTGCCACTTAACTACACAACATTAAAAAGTATTTTTATTATGATTTATGAATACTATTTTTTTAAATTTTTTTTGTATAAAAAATATAATTAGGTATAGAGGAAATAAACATCATATCATAATCTATTAATTAAGTATTTAAAAATAAAATTAGTACCTACCTAAGTGTGTAATATTTGTTATTACTAAATATTATATAAAATAAAATAGATTAATATTTAATAAGTATTATATCACACCTAAGTACTCAGAGAAATGAATAAATTGAATAAAACCTAGTTTAATAAAATTGTATATTTTCAAATAAAATATACCAGAAGTTATCATAATATTAAGAAAATTTACACGGGTATTAATAAATTATGATTTAGTTATAGGTATAGTTTTCAGTATAGATTCAGGCCAAATTGATTGGAGTGCTTGTTTCTCTGCTTCGCTATCATCAATAATAAATTGTTTGGGAAATCCTTGATCATTAAAACTATTAGGTACTGACTGTTTTAAAAGTGTAAAAGCTGTTTTATAATCAATAGTTGACTGACCTTTTGTTATAAATATACCTAAAGGAACTGCTCCAACACCACATGGTGCTAACATGAACGTTATTGAATGACATTGAAGGTCACAGGATGAAGTACTATCTACAAAAGCAATATCTTTGGAGAATGGCAATTGGTGAACTCTTTTCATTATAGGGGTAACGACTAGAATAGCAAATTAATTTTCAGTGTACTAACAATCATTCCATTGTCATTCATAATATTTTTCTTTCTTCAAGTTTCTAAACAATAATTAATTATTTTAAATATGAAAACTTTAAACTTTAAACATAGATAGTAATAATAAAATAATATATTTTAAACGTTTAAATTATTAAAATAAACTATTTTGTTAATAGTTTCTATAGTTTATATTGTATGCATAGTTATTGAATAAGAAGATAGCAAACTTTTGTGATTATATTAGTTTTTATAAAAATATGCTTTCAGTAAATGTTAAATAAAATAAATATTTATTTTTAATTATACAGGGTGATTTTTATCGTGAACCAGTTAATATCTCGGAAGTATAAGGAATTTTAAAATAATTTTTAACTTTCTAGGTTTTACTTTTTACTGCTTGTTACAATTTTGATAATTAAACACTCCCTTATTTGATAAAACACTATCAACTTTTGATTTTCGTAAATACCTATTTTTCGTAACAAAATCTATAGCATACTGAAAAATAAATTTAACGTTTATAGAATTTAATTTGAGTAATCGTTTGCGACTTATTAATGTTTCAATATTCGTTTAATTTACTGCTACTGGCAATCACACCCAACAGTAAAACCAAGTCAAAAATTTTATTTCAATTCTTAACCATTAGGTCATAATTGATAATAACAAGATAGATAAACAATACTATTAGAAAAAGATGTTTACAAAATGGTTAACTGCAATGGATTTATCACTATATGTAAAGTATAAAAATAACATTTTACCATTACATTACCATGAGTTCACAATATAACACGTTCTGTTTCCTGGTATACGGTCTTATCACTATTAGTAGATAAACGATAATAAATGCCGGTAATGTTTCCTGGAAAAACATGGTTTTTAGTAATCGTTATGCATTAGTTTCCATATATCAAATAGAAGTATTAATTAATAATTATATTCTTTGAATGTTTACAAAAGAACGTTTTAAGTAAATACTAAATATGTGAAATATAAGTGTATTATTTAAAATATAAATTTAAAGTTTAAGCCATTATTACACATACTATTGTATTTTTGATAGGTGTTTAGCGTGATCGCAAATTCACAAGAGCAAACTGTGTTTAGACACTGTTAGTCACAGTGTAGTAAGACAAGACTAGACAAACAATATTATTAGATTTTGGTGTAAAATGTCATCGATGAAGAGGTTGCTATGACTGTGGTACCTCTAAACACTTTAGAAGAACGGGAAAGTGTATGGGTACATCCATTAAACCAAAACGTATCACTCGCACGTTATTGCATATCATTTTCAGGGAATTACGATCTGCGAAATAAAGAACTATACAGTGTTAGTATTACAACTTTTGATTTTATCGTACAGCAAATAGGAGAGGAAATTGTAGAAGAAGACAGCTAATCAGAAGTATTTCTCCTGAAGAGAAGCTTTAATTACACGTTAAGATTGTAAGCATAATATTTTATTTTGATATTCAACTGTCATTTAATTATAAATATTTTGTTTATGCATAAATAGGTATTGAATTAAAATTAATATAGCTAATTACAAATATTCTTCTTATAATTATATTATTTTATGTTAAATGGTGGTAGTACTTGTTAATCTAACATACTAACTTACTACACCTATCATGTCGTACGTGCTGATCCAATATCAGATCAAAAACATTGTAGTAGTGGATTCACTATTTGTCTCCATCTGTACAATGCATAGAATATGAATATTGTCCATTTAAATAAGTCATTTGTAACGATGCTTGTTTGGTTGTTCTGGTCATCATTAGTTTAAGTTGATAAGCTAACTTGTTAAACACGTTGGTTTTATCGTTGAGTTTTGAATCAGGGATTAAACTTTTGAAAAATATTTCTGATGAATCCTTCAGGTGTGCTTGCTATCCTATTCTTAAAAACCGCATCATTGGCTCAACCTCACTTGTTCCTCTGCATTTTAAGCGAGTTTTAGGTTTTTCAGTCTTTGAATACTGTTTCGTTTAGTTCGCATTCTGGTGAGCGCTGTACATCTTCTATGATATGTGTCTTCTACTACTTGATATTTCAACGAGATTTCTTCAGAGTAGCTGCGTTCGTTTTTCATTACATGAATCACTTACCGTTGCTAATCATTGGTTCATGTTTAACAGAAATCACAAAACTCATCACTTTCGAGAAGATACCATTTGCTTTCTTCGATGCAGTTGATCCAGGATTTTATTTTTATTTTGCACCAAATTTCCTTGCATATGAATTCTTAAGAAGTCCATTACTTTTACACTGACACTGAAAAACAAAATAAATATATGACTTGGCATTTAATACTGTACGCTTCATCGAACGCGGACTGCTTAGCGTGCTGATATCGTTTCTTTGTTATTTTTATTTTCATTTTTCATCAATAAACTTATACTAATGGCAATAACTAATAGGTAATAAAACAGCTTTGGCATTAACTGTGCTAATATTTTTATATAATTAACATAATATTAATTTTTGTTTTTGGGTTCGGGCAACGCTTTCCAACGCCTACGCTATAATCCTTTGCAGAATGTAGCTATACGGGTAAATGTGTGAATAAACATGTTACATATGTGAAATTTATCACCAATTTATGCCTTTGTCCACGAAGGTTGGTTTGCGAGCAATTTGAAAACAATTTCCAAACTGGTGTTGAACAAACGGTAAGCATATTGCAATTCAGTCCCCAAATGCAGGATCGGCGTACTTTAGTTACAAAGGTACCACTCCATGTCGTTCTACGGACAGTCTGTTGACGCTAACAAGCCAAATTGAACATTGATAATTGATGGATTGGTCGAAGCTCGCGACGGAGGTGTTTTGAAGGAATCCAACTTTGAAAGTGCTGATCTAAATAATAAATCTGCATTCACCAGAAAAATTCACAAATTAGAAGAAGTACCTTTGTTTTGTGGTAGGGCAAAGGCATAATCCTTGTGTAAATCTAATGGGCATTTGCACGAGAGCAGACTTAATAATATGAGAGAATTTATAATTATCTTCAATCTCAGCACAGGGAGAACGTTGAATGTGCATCGGGGTATCTACCAAACGATTCAATGTATTTGAAAATAAATGATGGTTCATCCCGATCAAAGTCTGCTGTTATAACACGCAGGCTGCATGTTTCTTCATAATATAATATGGATAAGCAATACGTAACTG